AGAAAACAAAGGAGCAGAATGGAGTCAAGAAAAAGTGAGGGAGAGAGAACGTCGAGAATTTAAAAACCACACGAACAGAAGCTTTACTTCGAAGTATCAAAGCCATAAATGGTCTTGAGGGGGCATGTTTCAATGTGACACCGTGCATGGCTTCCTTCTCTCAGACAGTGTGGGTGTAAGTGGCCACGGTGTTATTTTCAGAGTTCTAACTTGAAATCCAAGTGTCTTGTGACTCAGCCTTCACATTTCTCACAAAGGACTACGTTCCTCATGGGTGGGGATGATTGTAACACAGGCTTCCAGCAAACTTCTGTAGAGTTGCCTTCACTGTCCCAACTTTCCTGACACAGGGTGGCAGTGAACACACAGAAAAACAAAGGGCGGGGGCGGGTCGGTGGGTTAAGCCTCCAGCTCTTGATTTCGGCTTAGGTCATGATCTCATGGTTCTTGAGTTCAAGCCCTGAGTAGGGCTCTGGGCTAACAGCTTGGAACCTGGAGCCTGCATGGGATTCTCTCTCTCCGTCCCTCCCTCACTCTCTCTCTAAAAATAAATACAAATAAACTTAAAAAAGGGGGGGGGGGCTAAGACCCTTCCTCTCAAATATACCCCCCCACCAAAACATTAAAACTGTTGAAAAACTGTAGTAGGTTCGGCACAGAAACGTGAAAGAGTTTGTAAAGACATCCGTTCCTTCCATTTGAAGTCTATGTTTCCACCCCTTCTTTTTATTCTTTTAAAAGTAATGCCGAGGTGGCTAAATGGCAGACCTGTGGCCGACGTCCGTGTAAGTGCACAGTACCCCCTGTCCTCTCCCTCAGCCGTTTCACGGGCACCGGAGGGCCCCCGCAGTGTCCGCTCCGCGTGACTCCACCTGACCGTAAGCGCCCACGTGTCATGGGTTTTCTCACAGCAACAACATTGACGTCTCTCGTTCGTTCTGAATTCTCCAACGGCAGGGAAGGCGCCCCTTCTGGCTAGAGGCCCCTAGGTTGTGCCAGGAACATCCTTCCGCGGTGCGTCCCCAACAGAGGCGGCCCGAGTGCCCTGCCCCCCACAGTTCGCCGCTCGAGTCCTATGGTGGGGGGCCGCCCGTACGCGGCCCATGCCCGGTGGGGCCGCTCACGCGTCTGAGGGCCAAGCAAATCTCCCCGCCGTTCTGCACGGCGAGCGGCGCTTCCCGCCGGGGACCCCTCTGGAGGGCCGGCAGAGGCGCAGGGGGAGGGCGCGAGGTGCCCCCTCAGGGGTGCACCCGCCGGTGCTGCAGCAGGTGTGAGCGGCGCTTGAAGGCCTTGCCGCACTGGGGGCAGCGGTGGGGCGCCTCCGCGGCGTGGACGACCGAGTGCTGCAGGAGGTAGGTGCTGCGGTGGAAGGCCTTCCCGCACTGGGCGCACGCGAAAGGCCTCTCCCCGGTGTGCACGCGCCGGTGCTGCAGGAGCTCTGCGCCGCAGCGGAAGGCCTTGCCGCACTCGGCGCACTCGTACGGCTTCTGCCCCGTGTGCACCACGTAGTGCTGGATCAGGTGCGCTCGGTTGCCGAACGACCGCTCGCAGGCCCTGCACTCGAAGGGCTTCTCTCCCGTGTGGGTGCGGCTGTGCCGGACGAAAGTGGAGCGGTGGGCGAAGGCCTTCCGACACTGGGCGCACTCGTAGGGCTTCTCCCCGGTGTGGACCGGCCGGTGCTGCAGGAGGTAGGACCTACGTTTGAAGGCCTTTCCGCACTCCGGGCACGTGTATGGTTTCTCCCCGGTGTGGATGAGGTAGTGCCGGATCAGGGTCGAGCTCTGGCTGAAGGCTTTGCCGCACGCGTTGCATTCGTAGGGCTTTGTGCCGGTGTGGACCCGCTGATGCCGCGCGAGGTACCACTTGCGGTTAAAACCTTTCCCACACTGCTTGCATTTGTAGAGGTCGCTCCCCGCACGAAGCGCGCAGCCTCTGTCCGGTCCCTGTGGGTCCCGCTCACGGAGCACCTCTCCCGGAGAGACTCTCTTTTGCAACACCTGGAGGTGCAGATCGTCCTCTGTCCCCAAACCGTCATCTTCAAGGTTCATCCTCTCAAGGTGGGTCTTGTGAGCGTCCCTCCCAGGCGTCAGTCGACCTTTCTGCGTTTCCAGATGCCCTTCCCAATCCCTGGCCTGCACCAACCTGGAGGCCCTTGAAGGTCCCTGGGCCGGGCTTCCCCGGAGCCAGGCTCCCGCAGACAAAACCGGCTGACAAGCGCTTGGGTCTCTGGTCCGAAGTCTGGTGCTGTCACCTGAAGAGAATCCGACACACAGAGGGGGACTTTTAGTGACACAGTGTAGGAGAGACGAAATCAACGCTGCAGGGGGCAAGCGAGGCTGATCTAGCACCACTGACAATGGCTGCGTTTTACATCTCTAGAACCTGGGTTTCCAAGGACCATTCTGGTGCTTGTACCCTTTACACCGTTAAAGGGAAAATCCGGAGGGCAGGCGGAAGGAGGAGACAGAGGGTCTGGAGTGGACACCCCTCCTCACGGTCCAGAGGATAGGATGGGGGACAGTTTTGATCACTCGCTCCAACAACAGATGTCCCTTGGTGCTAGGAGCACATGGAAACAGCGCTGAACAGGACGGGGAGGCAAAAGAGGAGGTGTCCCATGAGCTAGGTCCTAATGGAGAAGCCAGAGACTTCAGAGAGAGGAAGAGGGGGGGGCACTGGATTGAAACGGAAGGAGCACGTGTGGGCAGAGTCACTCCTGGAAGAGTGCTGAACAGTTAAAGGAAGAAAGGGCCCCGGAGGCCTGGTGAGGCCAGGCCACCACCAAAGGGGATCACAGTCAAAGGAAGAGAATCAAGACTGAAGAAGAGGAGGGATGGAGGAACATTCGGGGTCCAACAGTGTAAAAGACAAGCTTCTGCTCTGCTGGGAGGTATCACGTGGTGGTTAAGGGGGCTCTGGAGCCAGAAGCCATTCGTCAGTCCCGCCTCCACCAAGTGAGTGATCCTGGTAGATGGGCTACCTTCTTCTTCAAGGCAAGGTTTCCATCTGAGAGACCAGGAGGTCTGTTGTGAGGGTTCAATAAGAAAAGCGCTCGGCACGGTTCTTGACGCAGTGTGTTTACTCCACTGGGTCATTATCTTGATTACCTGTGACGGTTACCTTTATACATCAGCTCGGCTAGGTCTGGTCCAACAGTTCTGGCTGAGGTACTTTTTAGATGTGATTAACATTTAAACCAGCAGACTTTGAGAAAAGATCATCATCCACAATCTTTCAAAGAGAGTGGGCCTCTTTGACGGCGGGCCTCAGTCAGTCAACTGAAGAGAAAAGACTGAGCTCCCCTGGGAGGGCAGGAATCCCGCCTGCAGACACCTTCAGACTCAGGCCATGACATCACCTCTCCCGCTTCCTGGCCTGATTCTGCCTCCTCCTGGTTGCAATTCTCTGGAGAACCCGACTAATATGCTGTCATTCTCACTGCCGCACCGGGCAGTTAGGATGGCAGCAAAGACACCAGCGAACACAAGCAAAGCTTGCCCCACAAGCCCAAGAAAGGGGCACCAGCAGAAGCCGACTGCATGGATACCACAGTGTCGGACTCCTAGCTTCCAGAACTGTGAGAAAATAAGTTTCTGTTGTTCAAGGCACAAAAAGGGGGGAGGGTGGGAAAGCCCCCGATAAAACCCATCCACAGTGACAGCATGGAGACAGTGGTTTCCACTGTAGTATCATGAGGATGGGGCACTAGGGACCTGCTAGTGTGCTGGAAATATTCCAAGTCTGGACTGGGGTGAGGAATACCTCAGTACACACGCAAACACATAAGCCTGACCCTTAAGATTTGTGCACGTCACCATACACTTCTGATGTTAAGGGAAGAAGACCAAGCAGAGTTTAAGCAAAAGGTAAGGAAGTCAAGTGTAGACGTTTTTCCTAACAAATAAGACAGCTCCTTCGAGAAGCTTGGCTTTATAAGGAGAGTCGACACTGGTTGCGGGCTAGTCCAGATATGCAAACACTTGTGTTTGCTCTATGTGTAGACAACCGGAGCACATGTGTATGTGGAGCAGACAGATGATGACGATGCAGCCAGGCCTGAAAGGAAGCGAGGCAGCAAGCTTCCTGGGAAGGCAAAGGTACGGCCAAGGCCGTGGTATTGGAATGGGCCGTGACCAGAGGCACAGCATCTGCCACAGAGGATGAGAAGGCCACGGGTGCGAGACAGGCATGGACGAGTCGCTCCGGATTGAGGAGCAAGCGGCAGAAGTCCACAGCCTTTATTCCCAACGTGATGCTGAGTGTGTGCCAAGACTCCAGTGGCGGCGGAAGTGCTGAAGCCCTGGAAGGTGTCCGGGTGGCTACGGGAGCCAGTGCGGGAGAAAGGGCTGCCCGGAGGCAGGCAGCAGATGCGGGGGGACCTGCTAGGAGGCTCGGCATCATCCGAGCAAGAGACGATGGAAACCCGGACTAGATGCTGGAGATAGAGCCAGGGAAGGCGGTGGGGGTGATGGATTCGGGGGACATGGGTAATGTCGACCAGGCAGGACCAGGCAGGACCAGGCATGGGTCAATGGGCTGGACGGAGACTGAGATGCTGAGGTGCTGTCTGAGGTATTTCCAACTTGTCACCTGCCTGGAATAGCAGGACACTCTGACCCGGGATGGGGGAGAGTGGGCAGGACGGTGAGCGGCTAAGGCATGACGGGCCCGAGGTGCCTCTGAGACACGTAAGTGAAGGTGTGGATCAAGGAGCTGGGAGAGCGGCCAGAGACAGGCTGGCCGAGAAGCCTGAAGGACCGCCAGAGAGGAGGCCACGCCTCACTGTGATGGCCCCAGCGATTCCACAGCACAGATGTGGGGCTGAAAAGGCCCATTGTCGCTGTGTTTTTCAGGGCAAGAGAGGAAGGAGGATCCAGCCAGTGCAAGGGGCTGCTTCTGATGGATAAATGGGGCTGTATGAATGGATGGAGAGGGTGGGAGACAGTGGGATATGGAACAAAGTGAAATTTACAGAGTAGAGACAGTGCTTTCAAGGGCAAGAAAGGCCCCTTGAGTCAGAAAGAAATGAGTGACATCACTATCACCCACTAGGACTACAATTATTACATGGATACACTAAGAGCTGACTTCTGGGGGGCACCTGGGTGGCTCAGTTGGTTAAGTGTCTGACTT